ATATATATATATATATATATATATATATAAAAATTGAAAATAAGATAAAAGTAATATTATGATATTTGAACAAGTTACAACATAACTTAGCAAACAAAGAGAGACAAGACATTGCACTGTCACAGACTTTTATGTTATAGAAACCCAACCCAACAATTTATGGTACTGTATCTGATGCCTTTCATATGGCAGTAACGTTTTAATTTGTGCTCTGTTAAAATTGGGAATTTTTGGTACTTGTGTTTTTATTCTTGTACTCAAAACCAAGCATCTGAATCCACAGATCATTTGATGTATGAAATGGTTTCACCTTGAAAGTACTTTTATTTTTCGAAAGCAGAAAATTTCCTAAAAAATAAATATATAAAATTTCAAAATTAAAGGTTGTTGTAGTGAATTTGTTTTGTTTTGGTGGGAAAAATGATTTTATTTTTCAACATTATTTATATGTTTGGTGGTGTATAAATTAGCTCTAATAGCCCAAGTGTGGCATAAGTTTTACTGCAGTGTCAGTAGTTGTTGATGGTGAATATCAAGCTTTATAAAGTAAGCTTCAGTTTTTTTGTTAAATTTGAAATATTTACAGTTAGTAAAAACCTCTGTTCACAGTTGCCTGGTTTACTCTTGATCCCATGTCGTCTCATCCAGACATTGTATTATTGACCAATGAAAACCATACGGTAACATGTGATAGCTATGAACACAGGGTGGTTCTAGGAAATATTGGGTTTTCTCGTGGTGTTCACTACTGGGAGTTTACCATGGACAGACTTGGAAATAATACTGATCCTGCTTTTGGAATAGCTCGATTTGATGTGGCTAAAGATTTGATGCTAGGTAAGCTGAGCTAACGGAGAAGCATTCATAGCATTTTCTATACTAAATACTACATACCATGTATTATAGAATTGAATGGAACCTAATTGCAATTTTATCACATTCACTAAAAATTATTTCAATTTAAAGTTTCTGAAATCTGACAAAAAGAACTTAACTGTGGAGTTTTTGATAATTATTGCTTTTTTTCTGTGAGCTAAAGATTAAGGTAGCTAAATCTAAAGTTGAATATAAAAAAAATTTATTATGTGTATGCTTTAGTATAATATCTTTTAGGCAGTGAAATTGTAGAGGAGAGATGCATTTGTGAATCCACTCAACATACACTTTATAATTGTATACAAAAAAAATTTCATTTGGTAATGAATATCATTTTTCAAATATAGTTTTAATTTTTCACTAACTCTTTAGATGCATGTATTTTTGAATTGTTCAAATTTTTTAATTATTCAACATATTGTATGAAAGTCAATGAGATGCTGTTGTAAGTGTAGAGTATGCAATAATTTTATGTTGCACAAAATCTTAAATTAAGGAAAGGGATAATATGAATAAAGATTAAGGATCAGAAGATCAGCTAAGTTATAGTTATTTCGTGTTTACATTCTTATAACAAACTTCTTAACTCTTTTAAAGTTTATGTTGACTCTCTACACATTATGTCACAACTTCTTTTTTAGGTAAAGATGATAAGGGTTGGAGTATGTACATTGACCACCAGAGGTCATGGTTTCTTCATGCTGATCACCATGACAACAGGACTGAAGGAGGAGTAAATACTGGATCTGTGGTAGGTGTTCTTCTGGATTTAGACAAGCACCAACTGAGTTTCTATGTAGATGATGTTCGTCGAGGTTCCGTGGCTTTTTCTGGTCTTCATGGTGTTTTCTTTCCTGCAGTCAGTGTCAACAGAAATGTGCAGGTTACTATCCACACAGCTTTGGACCTTCCCACAGAAACTAAGCCATATGATAGCACTTAGTTACAAGCCCAGAATTTGTGTCTCCACCAAGATATGGACAGTTTGTATGGTGGTGAAATTTGACTTTCAAAACTAAAAACTTTCTTGTATATTAACTAGCTAACTGTGTTTTAAAAGGAATATTGGTTAGTTAAAGTTAATAAGCCATCACTGCCAGAATTGTTTAAACATTTAGAAGACTTTCACAGGAAACTGAAATGATTAATTTACAACAATATCCACTTAGTTTGTCAAATAATGCTACAGAATTATAATGAGGAGGATTTATTCATTGGTAAGTTTGTAAAACTGATTTCTTTGAGGAAACAACCAATGATTAGAAAATTAACCATATTTTTTAAGGTTTACAGCAATGCTTTATGTATGAGGATTTCCAGGCTTCAGAGTAAAGCAAAGATCATGACAGCTCTTCCTATTGGATTAAGGCTTTCATTAGCATAGTTAGTTACCTCTAACTGTAATGATAGATAAAGGTATTAAGTCTTTTAGCATATGGTGTACTTATATGTTTTGTATCATTGGTAGTACATATTATCACAACAAATGCTGGTGTAATATCAGCAAAAACAAACTAAAACAGTACAGTTTACTACCAATATGTTCAGGTCAAGTAAATGGAAGATGTAATCTTACTTGATGAAAGTTGTGTTTATCAGATTTTTTATATCCTTGGTAAGACATAACTTGTAAACTAATTTGATGAAAATATTGATATCAAATTTTTTTATCTTAATAGAGCTAAAGAAAATTTCAGTAGAATCTCTGACCCTTAGTGAGTGTACTTTGTTTAGGTGATTTTTGACGCATATCAGTAAGTTGATTTTAGTACAGAATTTTAGTTTACATCCAGCTGGAATCTGGATGGTTTGACAGATTTTTGTGCTTATGTGATATTTTCTTGTTACTATGAATATACATATATATATTTTTTTTTAGTTCTGTCTTGCAGATAAAAAAAAAAGCCTATTCAAAGTAGCTGAGTAGTTTTGTATCCCATTTCAAATCCGACATGGTGCTGCTTGCTAGTATGCATGTGTTTTGGACTTTTCTTCTAATCTTATGCCCATATTCTCTTCTCTTTTTTTTTTTTTTATGGGAGTTCTGCATAAGTTTAATGGAACTTCATTTAAAAATAGCATTCTAACAAGCATTCTTCAAATTTTCTATATTTAACTGAATCAGCATCTAAGCCAGTGAACTTTAATGAAGGCTTCCTGAGACCAGTGTCCGTTGAACTGAAGCTAGTATGAAGTGAAATACTTTTTGTTGGGAGATCTGTCTTGGTGCATATAGCAAATATTAGCTTTGTCCTCTTTTTTTTTGTTGTTGTTGTTTTTTACCACCTACATTTTGCACCATTTTTTTCACACATAAGGTGTTTTTGATCAGATCTTTATTGTCATCAAATTGAAATGTCCTTCTAAATAAATGTTTGGCATGAAATGTAAAGTTTTTTTCTTTGTTTTGATTAATATGTTTTTTTTAGTCTATTATCAAGATACATGGTAGTGTTTTGTGCAGCCAAAACAACCTGCAGGACACACTGTGTTACTAACAGGAGTGATAGTTTAGCCATTTTCCACTGTAGGTAGCTCAGGCTGTGGTCATCCAAACTGTCATATATTTTCAGTGTATGTGCTCTACTGGACCCTTACTTTACATATCAATTTTCAAGGCAATCCATTAAGAAATACAAGAGATATAAAATCACCGATTTTGATTGCATTTTTTTCTCCTTTTTTTTTTTTTTTCTTTTCTTTATACTGAAAGTACAGAAGCTTTATTTGATAGCAAAACATAATTAACTTTTATGGTTTTTTTCAAGTTTGGTACATTGATAGATCTTTACAACCTACAATTAGGAGTCTCATTTGTTGTAAATATAAGCCACATGTGCTAAGTTATTCAACAAAAAACACTAAAATTTCATAAATTTTTGCACACACCTATGCAAGATGTCACAGGAGCTGTCGTCTCAAATTTTTACTATAGCTTCACCCAAGAGTAAAAGTTGACTTTTTTTTAGTTTTTTGTCATTCAAATTAAAGGCGGCTGATTTAGAGCAGCAAAACTACAGGGTGAAACCATGTGCAGATACATAAATATTGTTCAAGCCAAGCAAACTAGATTAGCAGTTCTAGCTCAAGTTTTAAAAAGAATCATATGGGTGGACAGTTATTATTCATTACCAACTTTTAAACACTGATTTGCTAAATTTTATAAAATTCTCCTAATTAAAGAGTGTTTAGCATCACGTGATGGTATCTTAAGCAATTAGCGTAAATAATAATGCTTGATACAGCTATACTGATGTGCATGGGGGGTGATGACAAGAAACTGTTAATCTATATTCCATGGCATTACTATAAAGGAAGTTATTAACACTCTGTTAGAGAGGAAAAACTACCACCATGTATTTTAAATAATCTGGTTGGTTCTATGAAGTATAGGCCTGTTTCAAATAATAGGATTGTGATCCTAAAGCTAACGATGGTTACTGTCAAGTGTCACTTACTTGCTGTGGTTTGTTGGTATGTATTGACAAAAAGTCATGATATCTAATCAAAAACTCCTTAGGTGTGAAAAAAGGTGTGGCCAAAAAAAGAACTGAGCATGTGACTTAAAGGAATGAAATCAAAATTAGTGGCCAAACTGGTAGCTACACTTATGGTATTGATAAGAATTTTACAGCAAATATTCATTAATTAGTTAACTAGACTGTGTATTTTGTTTTACCCACCATCATGCCCAAAGTTGAAAAAAAAACATGGCTTGGATAGCTCATGAATGATTATTTGCTGTAAAATTATCATCAATGCTATAAGTGTACCTATCAATTTTGATTTCATTCCTTTAAGTTGCATGGTCAATTCTTTTTTGGCTGCACCTTTTTTTTTCACACATCAGATCATATATAGATGTACCAAGTTAAAAGCACTGTTTGTAAAGTTTGATTTTGAAAAACTTTTTCATTGTGAAAAATCACTCTTGGGCAGTGTTCCTTCTAAGCTGCATGGCAGCACAACAACCAATCAAGTGCTGCACATTGCCTTGATACTGGTGCACATGAAAAAATTCATTCCCCACATGGATTGAAAAAATTAGAGGGAACGTTGCCTTTGGGTTCAATCCAAAAGTACTTGTATGTGTAATATGATAAAAAAAAATTACATAGTTCCATTTCAGGGTTTTAATATTCATTTTAAAGTAATATTTCATAAAAGTTTAAGGTTATTTGAGATTTCAAATTACTGAAGAATTATTATTATAAACATGCACTAAATCAAAACATAATTTGATACACAAATTCTAGTCTTCACATGAAGTGTTGTTCCTATCATTTATGAAATCTGATTTAAATTTTCTTTTTCACTAGACTAACACTATTCACATTGGACCATATGACAGTATTGACTGCAAAACATTTTACCAGTAAGGTTGTTAGTAATAATGTATCTGTTGTTACTGCATGATCAAAAAACAATTGAAAACTTGTATTATGTATTAGTAGATACTATAATAATAACATATTAAGTCAAAGTAGATGATATCTGTGTTAGAATACATACAAATAACAATAATGTTGATTTGAAGTAATTGTTAACTGTACTACAATACTTACAAATATCAATAACATGTTCAGTTGAAGTAGTTGGTAACTGTACCACAATACTTACAAATATCAATAACATATTCAGTTGAAGTAGTTGGTAACTGTACTACAATATTTACAAATATAAATACCGTGTTCAGTTGAAGTAGTTGGTAACTGTACCACAATACTTACAAATATCAATAACATGGTGAGTTGAAGTAGTTGGTAACTGTACCACAATACTTACAAATATCAATAACATGGTGAGTTTAAGTAGTTGGTAACTGTACCACAATACTTACAAATATCAATAACATGGTGAGTTGAAGTAGTTGGTAACTGTACTACAATACTTACAAATATCAATAACACGTTCAGTTGAAGTAGTTGGTAACTGTACTACAATACTTACAAATATCAATAACACGTTCAGTTGAAGTAGTTGGTAACTGTACTACAATACTTACAAATATCAAGTAACACGTTCAGTTGAATTAGTTGGTAACTGTACTACAATACTTACAAATATCAATAACATGGTGAATTGAAGTAGTTGGTAACTGTACTACAATACTTTCAAATATCAATAACATGTTCAGTTGAAGTAGATATATTATAACATAAACTATAAAATATTCTAGCAAAATAAATACTGTTCCACGATAATTACAAATATTGATAACTTATCCTTTGTCACATTAGACACTGTGATAATTACACTGCATTTATTAAGCTGTGGATTTAACACTATATTTAGCTACCTGTTGTTTTATCACTATGTTTAAAGTATTATTACAGATTTGCATTGCTTGATTAGTGGTTATTTTGAAACTATTTATGTAGCTGTGTTTTTAATGGTGTTAAAAAAACCTGCTATTTTATCAGTGAGTTTTAACTAGCTATTAGTTTATAACTGTTTAGTTAGCTGCAGGGACATAGGGCAATTCCACAAGTTGATGGAGAACCAGAAAACTAGCTGCAACCACGATGGGGGAAAAAATAATCGTAGGTTACTGGAACTTGAAAAGTTTTAATATATTTTTAAATGAAACCTGGCTCTTCTTGAATTAACATTTGTTCAGTTGAATCTAAGATTTTTACCTCAATGTGCTTCTAAGTTGTTCAAGAAAATATGTATTAATGATTAACACCACTTAGTAGAATACAGTTGTGAGAAAAATCAAATGTATTGTCATGAATGCATAATTTTGAGCAATCATACATGATAAAATACACCAACAAGTTATATATCTGTCATATGAACTAAATTTCTCACTTCTTTGCAATTTAAACCTGCTGCTTGCTGAATAACTATGTTAAGAAGAAAACATTTACGAGTGATAAGAAACTTTCCTATTAGTAAATTACTACCTCGGCCAATGACAGTTACAATAAACATACATGATGAAGTAATATAAACAGAACTTGCATAATTGTAGCAGGCTGACTGGGAGAGTGAAAACATGCTAACATAGCATTCAGGAAATGGAACAGTTTTGGGAATAGATTCAAAAATATTGATAGTGCATGGCATACAGAGCTTTAGCACTACCATGCTAAACTCCTGGTTACATATGAGTTGATTGTGATGTATAACTAGCTGTGATTTTATCACTTTCTTAACTGTAATTTTATCACTTTGTTTAGCTAGGTGTGATTTTATCACTGTTTAGCTGTCTGTGGGTTTTATCACTGTTCACCTAGCTGCAGTTTTATCACTCATGTTTAGCTAGCTGTGGTTTTATTACTATGCTTAGCAATATGCAGTTTTTATCATTGTTAAGCTTGTTGATGTCGTATCACTGTTTAGTTACCTGTGGTTTTTATCACTGTGTTTAACATTTTGAGGTTTTATCACTATGTTTAGCAATCTGCAGTTTCTATCACTTCTAATCTTTTTGAGGTTTTATCACTGTGTTTAGCTAGTTATGGTTTTATAAATTGGTTTAACCATCTGTAGTGTTTATCACTGTGTTTTAGTAGCTGTGGTTTTATTACATTGTTTAGTGATTTGCAGTGTTTGAGGTCTTAATTATCATTGTTTAATTATCTGTGATTTTTATTGAAGTTTTATCACTGTGTTTAGCTAGTTATGGTTTTATATGTTTAGCTATCTGCAGTTTTCATCACTGTGTTTAACAATCTGTGGTTTTTATCACTGTGTTTAGCTAGTTGATGTTTTTATCACTGTTAACTAGATGTAGTAGTGTCACAATGTGGTTTTAACTGTGTTTAGCAGGTTGTGAATTTATTACTATATGTGCTTGGCTACAGATGTATCACAGATTAGTGTTTTTGCAACAATGTGAATTATTCAAAAGATTATCCTATATTTTTTGTTTGTGATAGATGTCACTACCTTAGTGATTTCAGTATCAGTAGAATTTTTATATATTGAAAAGCAGCTATTTTGAGCATGTGTGTTTACCTAACTTAAACCTAAGTTAGCATGTTCTGTAAATAAATAAAAAACCATTAACATAAGCTATCTTTTCATAAGCAGACTTAAGGAAATCCTTTGGAAAACATTTGTTAAAATCATATGAAATCAAACTACGGTACAAAGATTGTTTTATATTCAATAGTGACAGATATTTATTTAACTTGAGACTAGTTTAAGGTTTCTGTAAGCTCATGATAAAAAATGTCTCTGGAGCTATGTTGTTTCTTGTTTAAATAATGTATTTTCTCTATTCATGTAGGGTCAGAAAGGTTGGTAAATCACATTAAAAAACAAGAACTTTGATATATAGACCCGTCTCCATCAGAGGCAAAGGAAAAATTGTGCCTGTGGCTCTAATTGAAACAGGTCTGCCTGTCAAAAGCTCTAGGCTTT